CCCCCCATACCACTATATATAGACTACATCTATCTATTGCAGTTTGCAGACCAAACCCAGTTGATAGTTAATGAGTCAAGAGCTATTGGCCAAGTGAAGCTGAGCTGCCTCCTCTCCTCTTTCATCTCAGCCTTGATGGCTGCCGCCAACTGATCAAAGGCTTCACCCCACGCACCGGCCATCTCTTCGCTCCACTTCTCTCCAACTGCTTCTTCAATGGTCGTCAGTAGAGCTTCCTTCACCACCTGATCAGAAATTAACATTTAACAGTGAATAATCGATCATCTAATTAATTAAACAGATGAACCCAATATCAAAGAATCTGTATATTGTTAATTGTTTGCTTTCTTTGAGCACCTCGAAATGGGCATCGATGACTCCCTTGCTAAGATGGACGGATCCCAAGTTCTTGAGTGTATTCTCTGCTACAACCACCTCTCCCTTCTCCCTCAGTTGAACGGCCGACTCACACGTCTTTTTGAGTTGAACAGAAGAATTTAAACTGATTAATTAGTTGATGAACAGAATCGATTAATTTATATTATATCTATTCACCAGCTCGATCAGTCACCACGCACACTACTCACCATCTTGAAGACCTTCACGGCATGGGCCTTGAGCCTTGGATTATTCTGAGGGAGCTCATTGGAGTCCTTGAGAAAAGAGAACATGTTCTTGGCTGCTGGTGCAATCTCTAAGATCCTGACGACATCATCCTTCACAGAATTAGAGCACAGAAACAATAAGGTTGCTCTTCAAATGATACAATCAATTAAAACCGCCATGAAAGAAGAAGGCAGAGCTAGAGAGCTAGGCTCTCTCTCTCTCTCTACTTAGGTGGTGAAGAAACGTAGGCTGAGGGTGTGTTCTGCTTCATGGTCTCCCATGATTCCTTCACCAAGGTCTCCTGCTTCTCTGTGAATAAACTCATGGTGATGATCGAAATATCTTCCTTCCCAGCTACCACTCGCTCAGTCTCAGAGTCTCAGGCCCGCAGTTCAGCTCACCCATTCGCCAGCTCGTCCTATATTTCAAGTATATCTGGAGCGAGGTTGACCGATCGTTGCTTCCTTGTTTCATGTGCGTCCCCACCTAGGCACCTACCAGGCGATATGATTGTGTGGTGCTCTTTCTACCTTTTCTCTGATTTTTGTTTCACAAATTTCTAAAAATCTCGAAACATGAACGTCAAGTGTAAACTACTAGATTTTTTTCCTAGTAATATTTCCCTCTGATAACTGTTTTTGTAACATTTGCCTCACTCACACATTAGTTCTTTCCTTTTCTCAAAAGGGAAAAGTCTCTTTCTCAAACCCCTCTACTTTTTTATTGTCCGCTCACATAGTCTTATTTCTGATTCCCAATTGAATTAGGGTTATTATTTGGAATTCCTCTATCTCTTTGCTTAATAGTATTTCATGTTCTTTTACTAGTGAAATGTGGGTTTATTGTAAAAAACTTTTCCTTGTGTAGACCTAGGGATGCAAATGGATTGGATTCAATTTGAATCAAAGTATATTCGAATTCAATCCAACATTGTTCATGTCGGATCTGATCTGAATCTGATAGGACTTGATTTGAATTTGAATCCCATCGGTAAGTCAAATATTCATATCTGATTTGATCTGACTTGTTTTCTTTAAAAATTAATAAATTCTTAAAAAAATTAAAATATACTAATTTAAATAAAGTAAAAACAAAAATTACAAGTATTTTTTAATTATTTTCATCATATATATACATGTTTTTTATAAATAAATAAATAATATAACAAATTTATAAAAATGTAATATAAAAAATATTTATAAATAAATGAATAACATATATATTTAAAAATATATAATATATATTGGAGCAGATAGAGGGTGATCCAAATCCGATTCGATTTATAATTGGATCCTATTATCACATCTGATCCGAATTCGACCAAATAGGATAAGATCATGATTCGATCCATTTGCACCCCTATGTAGAACTAAAATGCCCCTACAAAAACAAAATAAATTAGGAAACATTTAGGAAATTGGTACACTTGCCCACATGGCAAAAGAACATGGGCAAATGTACTTAAGGCTCAGTTTGGAAGGAGTATAAATGCAAATATGTAGAGTGCAAAACTATGTATTTTGTATTATTCTGTATGTATTTGACTGGACAGATTTATATTTGTACTCCTTCCAAACTGAGCCTAACTTTATAACATTTTCCCAAATAACACTTACCTGGATAAATGTATTTGCCTAAATAGATAAATTATCACCAACAAACGGGACCTTAAATTTACTCCGACTTTTCTGACCTTCAAAGCCTTTATCACAGATATTTAAAGAAAGCATTCCCTCTGTCATGCAACCCCAATGAAATGTAAACACACCAATGCTTTAAAAAAAAAAAAAAAAAAAAAATCTATTGATGTGATGCCTTGAACTTAGTGTAAATGTTTGTGTCGTGTGTTTACATGTTTTTTACATTAATATTTTCATATCCTTGCTAGGGATGTGCAGAATGGGCTAAGTTTAAAGTAAGTCTAAGCCCAATCCAAATAATTAAGATAAACCCGATCACTCCAATCAGGCCCACACTAAGGCTGTGTTTGGCAAGTTTTTCAATAGTGTCTTCTGGGCTTCTCAAATCCAGAAAGCCCAATTTTTGAGTTTTTTTCCATTTGGCAAAAGAAGACAAGAAGCCAAAAAGATGGGCAGATCAAAAAGGTTGTGCAAGCACAAAAATCCACAAAATTGAGAAGCTCCAACTCAAGTTTATACAAATTTCAGGCCTTCTAAGCTTTATCATACGTGTGCCAAGAAACGTATGATTGAGAAAATAGTTGGGGTTCTTCAAACAAAACCACCCATTCCTCAATGTGCGTGTAAAACCCTCCTCTGTAGAAAGTATTTTCCTCCTCCTTTCTTCTTCATCTTCGTTTTTTGCTTTCTTTTTCTTTTTCGTTTTCTTCTTCTTCTAATGTGAACCAACAATAGGGAGAGAGGGAGAGAGGAATTATTAATTATCATTACTGTGAAGGAGGGACGATGGTTTTTTTTTTTTTTCAGAAACTCAATGCAGTGTAGATTCTTTCACTGATTTGATAGTTCTAGCTGGTCTAGAGCTAAGCAAGAACCTCCTTGCCGATATATCACAAAATTTCCTCAAATCCTATATTACTGTTTATTGAAGAGTTATTTTCGCTACAATTGATTATTAAAAATTCTGGGTCTCCCCAAACCGCATCTAAAGATTTCGAAGGGACATAAATAGTAATTAGTAAATCAACGCAAGTGATGGTGATAAATCAATGTGGACAAAAACTATAGCACCTCTCCCGGTGAAGGCTTTTTGTTTTTCAAACCTGCAAATATTTTTCATTTTTCATCTCAACAGGGTTTACCTTGTATGCCTTCTTTTTCTTTACTTTGAATTTCCACATGGGTCTGCTTTATTTATTTGTTTAATTTTGGGGAGGGTTGAGCTTGGTCTATTTTTCTGTTCAGTTGATCCTCTTTTCAATTCTCAACCTAGTTAGTTCTATTGCTTTTTTCTCTTCTGTTCATCCTTTTTCTTTATTCATCTGCCATCTGGCTTTTGCCTTTTGATTCTTTCGCTATTTATATGATCTGGGTTTTAATTTTTTTCATAACTTCCCTGGTTTTAAATTCTTCTCTTTCTATCTTGGTTTCCTTCTAGGTATCTCTTTGCCTCTCTGTTTAATATCCAATTTGCTTACCTTCGCTTCTGCTTCTCGTTCCCTTCATGCTAGGTTCTTTGGCCTTCCAATCTGGGTTATTTCTTGTGGTTTCCCTTCTTAGTTTTCTTGTCTTTGGATGATCTGCTGATACCAATATGAATTCAACTGCGGGGAGGCATGTTTCATCAAAATTGTTGTGTGTTTTTCGAGGATGAGTTGAGAGATCAGAGACGACCAGCTCGAGTGCTTAGAATTAAGAGTGCTTAAATTTGAAGAACTTCCATTCAATTTATTAAAACCCATATGCTTCCTTTTGTTTTAACTGAAGTTTCTATTGTTTACTTCCCCTGTTTATTAAATTGCTTCAATGTCTTGGAATTGAATTTTCCCTTCTATGGTCAAGCTCCCTCCCAAGATCAAATCAAAGGGTTGTTTGCTAACGTGAACCAACAATGGGGACAGAGAGAGAGAGGGGGGGGGAATTATTAAAAATACATATTAATTACTATTACTGTGAAGGCGGGGGACGATGGTTTTGTTTTGAAACTCAATTCAGTGTAGATTCTTTCATTGATTTGCTAGTTCTAGTTGGTCTAGAGCTAAGAAAAAACCTCCTTGTGGGCATATCACAAATTTGCCTCAAATCCTATATTACTAGTTATTTTTGCTACAATTGATTATCAATTCATTTCTGACTTTTCCCAATTGCCAAATTATAATGCTTATTCCTCTTTTGCATTGATGAAGATTAGCTATTTATTGGAAAATTATTTCTGTTACACACAACTATTAATTCTCTAATTTTCTTGTTATCTCCTAGAATTACTATCATAAATAATCTTGGAACATCTAATGGTTCTTCTTTGAATTATTTCATACTAAAGAGGATATCGTACACTGTAACATCCATTTACAATTTTATATTAAACAGGATATTGAACACTATAACAGCCACGCGGCCAATAGATAATATATGTGCTGGCCCAAAATGAGAGTGGGGCCCATATTGTTTTTATTTGCATAGGTGGGTGGAATGCATGAGTGGGTCCCACTTCAATATTTTTTATAGGTAAACACATGAGTGGGGTCAAGTAGGTGATGTATGTGTCAGCAAAAAGATGAGAGTGGAGCCTACATTGATTTTTGAGTGGGTCTCACATTGATATTCCACGTGTATTAAGCACATGTTTATTCATCACTGTTATGGACTTTGCCAAACGATCTTCATGTCTTCCGAGCTTTCTATAATATCTGTTACAATTATTGCAACCAAACAGTCTTTGGACTTTGTAGATCTACTTATGAAAGCTCCTGTGGTCTTGGATCTTTAGCTACTAGAAGATCTTCCGTTGAAAGACCTGCCAAACGCCCCCTAAATATGTGCTCAGGTTAGGCTTAGAGGCCTATATGCTCATATTGGGCTTAGGCCTAACCCTACGAGAATGCCGCATTAAGTCAAGCATTAGAAGGTCAAATAACGCCTTATCAACCGTCGAATTCGAATCCGAGAGGATCCGTGCTAGCTGTTCATTGATTAGTCAGAAATGAGAAAACTCGTGGTTGATATTCAATGCTACACGGCACGTGGGACCAGGCTCGAAACACCAAAAAGTCCGATCTCTAGAGATTGATCGTTGGTTTCGAATCAATCTTCGGAGTTGATCGTTATACGAATCCAAGGAGCCACGACTCGTCCTCTCAGAGTATGCGTTAGAACGTTCCACGTGGCAGTAACATTGCTTCCTCATCTAAATTTCGGACTTCGGTGTCAGCTCTTCGGAACACTGGTCCCACCTTGTCTGTAGGGCGAAGAACATAAGAATTGCATGCTCTCGATGCATGAGCGTTGTATTCCCCATGGCTTGCCAGTTGCCATTTTACGACGCAGAGAGAGAGAGAGAGAGAGAGAGAGATTTGTGGGTGAAATTTAACAGAAAACAACGGAAACTCCCTTACCTCCCGTTCGACCAAATTCCTCAGCTATGAAACGAAGAGGGAATATGGACTCACAAAGCATAACCAACATCCAACCGCCTACACCGGACTTCGGTTTCCCTCGCTGCGGATGTCGCAATGTCGTCGTGTTCGGCAGCAGTGGCTTCTCGTCGTCTCCGGCAACTGCAATCCCTCCCGGCAAACCGTACCTGCGTAGACTGTTTGCAGAAGAACCCACAATGGGCCTCTGTCTCCTTCGGAGTTTTCATGTGCCTCGACTGCTCCGGCAAGCACCGAAGCCTCGGAGTTCACATCAGCTTCGTCCGTTCCGTCACCATGGACTCATGGACCGAACTCCACCTCAAGAAAATGGAAGCCAACCCCGGAGGCAACGAAGCCCTTAACGCTTTCTTCACCGCCCGCGGCATCCCCAAAGAAACCGACATCACCATCAAATATAACACCACTGCCGCCACCCTTTTCCGCGAAAAAATCCAGGCCATCGTTGAAAATCGTCCCTGGACTGAGCCTCCCATTATCAAAGAACCCCCCCTAGATTTGAAACCCTCGAAGCCGCCTAAACATAACAGCGCGAATTTCAGTACCAATTCTGAGTGGCAATGGGGTGCTTGGGATGATAATGGTGACTCGAATCCTAACATCCGCAGGAATCAATCTGTTGGCAATATTAGGGTGAACACCGAGTTGGATGGTCCCAGTCGGTCTTATTCTTCAGACAATCTTTACGGGAAAATACAGGCATCCGCGGCAAACAAGGAAAGATTCTTTGCCATGAAGATGGCAGAGAATCAAAACAGGCCGGAGGGAATTCCGCCTTCTCAAGGAGGAAAGTATGTTGGGTTTGGCTCGACTGGAACGAGAGCAATCTCGAGGAGTAATTCCCAGGGGGATATGATATTGGATGCTGTTTCTGCTGTTTCTCAGGTTAGAATGTCTCCAAAATCGGATTTTCTTTTCCCTTCTTGATCTGGGTTTGCCTTTGTTGATTCATTTTTCCCATTCTGATTCTAAATGTTGAAAGTTTACGTATCCATTTTTTTTCTCTTCTATTTGTTTGGCCCATAAAACAATATCGTATAATAGTTGTCTCTGTTACCCCATTTTCATAAAGGATTCCTTTCTAGCTCATGTGAGAACTTCTACATTTACATGAAATCTCGTCCTTTGTTATGATTTTGCATACAATCTCTTAATAATATGAAAAAAATTAAATTCTGATTGTTTCTCTGTGTGGAAAATATTTCAATCCCGTAAAATTTCAGTTGTATTTCTGCATCTTTTACGGCCAAAACTTTGTCTTCTAACCCTTTTATATTGAAGCAAATGCTGTATTAAGGAAATAAATGTTCATCCAACTTCTTACTGTAGATTGCATAGTCTTTCAATCTGAAGTTTATATCAGTGTTATTTTCGTTTCATTGTTGAACTGCTAGGCATGACATTTCAATCCTGCAACCTAAACCCTTCAAATTTGCAATCTAAACTTGGTGGCTAGACTTCCATGCATTCTATATTGACTTTTGTAAGTACAAGAGCTTTTTTTTTTTTTTGATAAATAACAAGAGCTATTTAAATATTGGTATGATCTGCATCTGAGACACCATAATTTTCATGATTTGGAGAAACGCCATTCACTTCTCTGCCTGAGATTTCCCTTTTATATATTGTAACAAAAAACTTCGATGTTCTATCAATGGTTTTTCCTGAAGTTATTTGTTGTTCTAATTGCCACATCAATTCTCTCCCAGTTACCATCTTTTCTTTTATGCTTAGTTTATTATGCATCTCAAGCCTATATAAGAATCCCCCAACTCAGCTTACTCTTAGCTTCAAGTGTAAAAAAGGAAGTAAACCTTACTGGTTTTATATGCCTATAAGAAATGCAGCAGCAAGTTCCCTCATAGAACTGATTACTTCAATCTTTATTATTTTGTATGTTATTAACTATTAGCTTGTTAATTATGAAAAACAACCATGAAGCTATAGGTTTCTCTGGTGTACAAGAACAACTTTGATACCACCTTACTAGAGAGATGGCATCATATTGGCACTTGGTAACATGTGGATTTACTATAGTCTGTGCATAGTCTTTACTCTTTAGTACCACAAAAGTGTGTGTGTGTGTGTGAGAGAGAGAGAGAGAGAGGAAAAGAAAAAAAAAAGTGCTTTTCTTTTCCCTATGATTTGCTTGGCTTCATGGAACCTCCACCAATGCTGATTTGACACATTTCCCTTGACCTTCTGTCTTCTCTGTAAGGCCAAAAAGACCATCACCCAGTGTTTTTGCTCAAGTCTTGCCCCTTCATACTCCTAAAATAATGCAAACTCATGAAATCAATTATCCACCCCCCCCCCCGCAAAAAAAAAAGAAAAAAAAATCCTCAGGTGGGTCAAAGTTGATGCCAATGATGATTTTTGTTTGTGTTGTGCCATTGGTCATGGTTTTATACCAATACATTAGGAGTATCACAGTATTACAGGCATGAGTGCTATTATTTATCCAATAATTTGTTAGATTCATTTTTCAATTTTATTTATTTTGTTTTCTGCTGCTTTTCTAATGATATGAAGGTAATCTCCACTTTCTTGTCTCTATTGCTGATGCTTTTTAATGCAGTAAAGGTATTGATCAAAGCAGCAACCAAGGGAGTTTTATTAAATATAAGAAGGAAAATCCGCCAATCAGTCTATAGACTGAAGGAGGACAACCAGGAGTGCTTAAATGGTTGAGAACATGACAAGATAAACTCCCAGCCCTAGACCCCCCCCCCTAAAATTGTAGTTCTCCTCTAGTAACCTCTCACCTGGTAAGAGAGTCAACAGACAACAGCAAGGCCATTAGCAGATTCTAATATCCAATTGAACTAGATATTCAGATTGGATTCTAACAACCTTTCTTCTCTCAGTAAATGTTTAATAGCTCGATAATTATGTTGCTCTCGATGATATCCTGTTTACAATTTCACCTGACAGTCTAGTTCAACCATGAAGACTTTCCATCCAAATGAGAAGAATATATACAATCCTGACTTCCAACCTTGGAGAAGAGTAGTTAATTCTACTCTTAAGATGTTCCTTTATCTGTTCTGTTGGTAGTGAAAAAGATAATTTTCATCGTGGTCTCTAAAAGCTCCATCTACACCTGATGAGCCTAGGTTTCTGAGGCAGCAGACATCTACATTTGATTTGATCTCTCCTTGTAAGGTGGCCATTAACTCCATTGTGGTTTATTGTCCGCCAGTTGCAAGTCCTGCCACTATTATCCTACCTCTAAGCATGGAATATATCAACACTCCTTCGTATTCACGCTAGTCACCAGCCAATAAGCAGCTCTCACCATTTGTTCATTTTTATAAAAAATCCAAGCATATCAACTAAGTTTTACTGAATACTGATAACAATTGTGTGTCATCTATGGCATGAAAACATCCAAGTAATTGCATCTTGACTCATTAAATTTTTGTTGCTTCCTAGGGCTTCAGTCGGTTAACTATGGTTGCATCATCTGCTGTACAATCTGCGGCTAATGTAGTCCAAGCAGGAAGAAAGGAGTTGACTTCCATGGTGATTATCAAGACCATAAAATTTCAGTTTTGTTATGCACGTTTCCTCTTTACATTTTTCTACGTAAAGACCTCATTTAAGTTGATTTGTGGTATATATGCTTCATCTTTCCCATTGGTTAAGACGATTTTCACACAGTAAAAGATAAATCCAAAGCTAAAGCTTTGAATTTCAACTTACTATTTATTGATTCTTTGGGTGCATTCAACATTTGACAGGTGAGAGAAGGTGGGTATGATGATACGGTAAACGTAGTGGCATCGAGGACCACAGAACTTGGACATAGAACCTGGGGAATTGTGAGAGACGTAATGGCAATGGCAACACTAAAAGTCGAGGAATACACTAAAGATGGAGTTGAGACAAAGGCAGGAGCAAAGGGGCATGAAGGATTGGGTGGGATCAGTGATAGTAATGCTGGACAACACGGGGAGAGTAAACCTGATGATTCATCTTTCAAAGGCTGGGACGACTGGGGAGCGGATAGTCCCACATCTTCTTCTAACATTGGAAGAGAATTTAAGGAGACTACCAAGAAAGAGAAGGACCACAGTGATGAAGTTTGGGGTGGATGGAATTGATGACATGAGAGGGGGGAGGGGGGTTCAAGACTTATTCCTTTGACTGTTCTTAGGCATGGGAATATTCTTAACAAAGAATTGAACTCAGAGTGGGTTCTTGCTGCCATACTTATAGAGGTATGGTTCCTCTTAAAGAAACTAAAGATTAGCTTAAGTTAATGAGATTATTTAATAAGTGAACATATGCAGTGGCTATTTTCTGTAAATTAAGTATTTTATTGATTGTCTCAATTTTTTCCTTATATTAGCATGGATCTTAATAACATATATCTTGTAAGTTGAACAAGTTAAATAGCCTTATTTTTCTGACCATTTCATTTTTTTATTCATTTTTCAGGTTTGTATTTTTTTTGGGGGGCCTGTATAATATAAAATGTCATTTGAAGCCATTCTACAAACCATGTAAAGAAACTTACATTATCCGTGGTTGATCCATAAAAGAGATGAACCGGTTCATATTCACTGAATTTTATCAGTTGAAAATGGCAATATTCATTTGTTATGGGTCTGGATTATAAGGTGTACTAACTTGTGATAATATTTCTTTTTTTTTTTGGTATTCAACTTGTGATAATATAATAATATTTCTGGATTTAAATCATCACCATCTATAAGCCTTATCTTAGCTAGATAGACAGAAGCCCTCTTCTTTGCCTACACTGGTAAACACATAGCACTAAGCTACTTCAAATAACATCACAAAATATTAGCATGTGTTGGCACCATGACAGAAAGATTTCATAATAATAGAGTTCCTTTCTGTCTCCATTTGGCTGCACTTTTTCCAGTTCTCTATAATCTAATTTCAAACTTTTTCTAAAGCAGCACAAATTTTGTTTTTTATATGAGGTTGATTGGAAGGGCTGTCCCATCTCATAGGATAATAAGAGAATAGGACCAGTTTGATTTCTTCTGTAGGCAAAACATTCCAATTTGGTGGGCTACATTTCAATGATGGGACCATATCTTTTGCATATTCACACATGGAAGCACAACAGGAGACCACATATAATTAAGCCAGCCTTTGATGAGGGCATCATCATCACTCATCACTGCAACACTTCGTCTCTGATTGTATTCATAAGTTCTAATATTTGATCATTTTTTCAGCTTCAATACTCATTACCATCGCATTTAAGCACTTCCCTACATCATAAAAGTGGCATTTCTTGCATGGAAATTGTAGTGGAAAATCACAAATTTCATGTAGGTTCCACTTTCTTCAGTGATCAGTAATATATATAGCTGATACAAACACAAATTGTTCACTGAATGCTTCACCCATTTGTGTAGAAGATGAAATTGCTAGTTATAAATGAATCAGAGAAAGATATTGGGAAGAAACTAAAACAGAGGAAAAGAGGCTCCACAAACTCTCCGAAGTGTACAATAAACTAACAACAGCACTAACACCCATAATTTTTACACCCAGAACAGACCAAACACTGAACAAGCCATATCTGCCTCCAGGCAAGAAGGCCTTACATACATACAACAAAATGAGGCCCTTGAAAGAAAAATAAGATAGATAAACAACATTGATTAGTAAGAGGTTAAGGAGTCAGCAGTTTCTTAAAAACACTGAAAAAAAAGGGCCAACTGGTGAAGGAAGAGAGGCCTATCCTATGCGGCCTGCGCTGCAGCTGTTTTATTAGACATGTAGTTGGTTACCGCCTTGGTCCCCTCGGCGATGGCATGCTTGCCGAGCTCCCCCGGCAGAACCAAGCGAACTGCTCCTTGAATCTCCCTCGACGACAATGTCATCTTCCCCGTGTACTGCGACAAACGAGTCGCCTCTCCGGCCAACCTCTCGAACATGTCGTTCATGAACCCATTCAGCACAGCCATCGCCTTTGACGATATACCCATCCCAGGGTGCACCTGCTTCAGCACCCTGAACACATACCTCTTGTATTCCTCCCCACCTTCCTTTCTTCTCCTGCCACCCTTTCTCCTTTCTCTCTTTTTCTTCTTCTTATCTTCTCCCTTCTGCTCTGTCTTCTTCTCCTCCTTTCCTTCTTGATTTATCTTCTCTTGTTGGCCTCGTTCCCTTGTTTCTGGTGACACTGCAACTGCTCCGTCTTCTTCTTGGACTTTGTCATCAACCATAACCCTTCTAGGCTCTTTCTGGACGAGTTGGTCTTCTGGGGCTCTCACATCTTCAATTGCAACTCTAATAGGCTCCTTGGTTGATTCGACTATCGTCTCTTTCTCGGTCTCCCCTTCAGCCTTCTTGCCGTCGACAACAGCAACGCGCACCGTCTCCCTTATCCTAGTTGTCTTCACAATTGTTCCCACCACCTTCTTTGAACGCTTGGGAGCCATTTCGCTTCCTTTTCCAGCTCTCTTGCTCAAGTGTAACTGCAAGTTCTATTTGACCGGTTCGAACCCAAACAAGCTGGGAAGAGTGCGTGTATCTTTATAATAACCGTGTTGGATCATGAAAGAATCTAGAGCTTGACGCGTATCGGACAAGTGTCGAACAGGTTTTGAACTAAACGGCTACGTGGGGTTAAAATTTCCATGGTAAACTGAACTCTCCTGGTCGTTTCTAGTCCCTAGGGGATAACTACTGGAATCATCTCTGTAAATATGTGGCCGTTCCTTTTAGGCTTTTACTGCTTTTTGGACTTACTTTTTGCCCTTTTGTCTGTCTTGATCTGGATGAATTAATCTACAACTCCACCGATTGACCAGAGAAGTTTGTGACAATGAATCAGTGTTCTCATTGGTTTTGCCCTGGCAAACAAAACGACTAAATTAAGCCCAGAAGGGCACAAGAAAGACTCAATACGATAAAGGGTCATTAATAAATCATTCAACAAATTTTGATTTGATCCCCTCAGAAGTCAGAAGTCAGAACCCAGAAGCCATGTGTCCGGTTTCGTTCCAGCAGATATCTGAATTTGACATTGAAATGGGTCCTTGTAAGATTGAAGGTGAAATGATGGAAGTCCAAATCAAAATCATCTAGCATCTCTTAAAAGACCTGACTTGACTAGACCGCTATGTTAAAGGGTGTTGATCCAACCAGGCAACCAGCGGAAAGAGGTTCAGTTCGGCGGTTCCATTGACAACTCACCATCTCTCCTAATTAAGTGAAACATATTAGTCCAGTAGCTCAGATGTCTGTCTTATCTTCTTAAAGAAAGCCACATGCATGCCCAAGCCTTCTTGTCATTCCCCTAACGCCAGCAGTGAAATAAACGCTAAACGCTGCTGCTCTGTTTTCTGTACTTTCTTGAGCCCCAAATGACAACAATGTTGTTAAGTAAATTAAGGTTATGTTTGGATGGATGATGGCATTTTAATATGACATTTTATATCAAAATGCCCGCAAGTAAAGGTAATGGCATTTCATTTCATGTCGTTTTGACATGAAACATGAAACATGAAACTTGTTTGGTTGGTACTTATGTTGACGTTGAACAAGTGTTTTGAACAAAATTGTGATTGGCATTGATTGACATTGGTACTTAAAACGTTTAGTCATTTAGATGAAATGATTGTATTCAATGTGACACCACTCTACTATACTTACTTTTAATCTGATGGTCAAATTTAAGTATAAATATTTTCCGATGATTGGATCATTGTTACACATTGATTAACATCTAGATGCACATTTAATGGTGGAAAAAAAACTTTGCTTTAGAGGCAGAGTTTATGGATATTCCATAAGAGTTTTGATCCTGATTGTTTACCACTTTTATGATGTCAATTAATTGATTATAAGTTTTTCTGTCATCAAGACATCATGGTTGAACACCCCCCCCCCCCCCCCCCCCCGCCCTCATTTTTGTTGGAGGTGTAAAACGGGTTGTGCCTGGGCTATGTTGTCTTTCACAGACATAATTTGAAGTCAGCCCAGCACGGCCCACAGACCAAGCCCATGCGGCCCCATGCCATGCCATGGGCCTGGCCATGCCGGGTTGGGCCACAAGCTGGGCCTTAGGCGTGAGCCGAATCAGGCTAGACTGAGTTTTTTTTTTTGACATTTTTATTTTTTTATTTCTTTGGGGAACTATTTGAAAAATAAGAAATCTAACAAAGAACAAAAAAAATACTTAACCAAATAAGAAGTCAAAGAGACAAAAACTTAAAGTGAATAACAAATTAGAAGAAAAATAGGAACTTTATTTCATTTAAATTTGAATGATACAAAGTATACAATTGTTGGATGAATGACATATGAAAATTGGAAATTTGAATAAATTAATAAAATATAAAAATATAATATAGTTACAAATTGAAAATAAAAAATACGTTATTAAACAATGTCAAATAAATTAAATAAAATTAAAACAAAGTTTGTAATAGTTTGGAAAAATGCTATACAATTATTGAGTAGTAGACCTGGCAAAAAGTTGACCCAACCCGCGAACCCGACCCAACCCAACCTGAAAAAATAGGGTTAGGGTCTCATATTTAGTTACCTGAATGTGAAAATAGCCCGATCCGACCCAACCCAAAAAAACTGGGTTGGGTCATGGGTCAACCCGCTGACCCGATTATCAAGTCTAATTGGGATTATTTATGCATTGTTAGAAGTTTCCACTCTTTAATTTTTTCTATTTCGTCTTTACTTTCTATTGTTTACTCTTTAAATTGTTAAATGTTCAAGTTTTTTTTTATTTAGAATTTTAAGGTTAATTCTTTTAATTTTGACATTTTCATGTAATTTTTCTTTATTTTTTAAAATTTTAATTATTTTTTGGGATGACCCGAATTGACCCATGGGTAACCCTAACCCGAACATTTAGGGTTATGGTCTAACATTTGGCAACCCGACCTGAAATCAACCCGAAGTACCTTGACCCAACCCACCCAACCCAATTGCCAGGTGTATTGAGTATACAAAACAATATTGACTATATCATTTTCTCTATTGTTCTTGACTTTGACCATTGTAGGAATTGAAAATGGTGGATGATAGGCTATTTATAAGAATTATTAAATTGGTATGATGAGAATGGTAGAGGATAGGGCTATTTATAGGAATTGAAATTAATTCAATTGCCCAAAATACCTTAAAAAACTAGCTATTTTTAGTTGTTGGGAGGGGTATTTCGGTCATTGTAAAGTTATTTATCATTTTACCCAAAATGCCTTCCCAAACTAGCTGTTGTATAGTTGTTGGGGGGCATGTGTGTCATTCTTTCTCCCCCCCCCCGAGCGTGGCCCGCTATGGACCCCCGAGTTGGGCCATACAGGCCTGTGGACAAGGAACCTCGGGCCTAGCACGGCCTGGACCATCGTGTCGGGCCTAGCATGGCTTGTGTGCCATCGTGTGACTGTGGTGTCGTGTTGTGTCGGGCCACGGATGGCACGGCTTGATTTACACCTCTAATCTTTGCTATGATGCACCAATATATATCTCTACACTGCCACATAGGATGCCAACTAAGCATGTGTTTGGATTCTTTGGAACCATGGGCATTTATTGAATAAACGCTGCCACATAGGTGCCAATTCAGCATTTCCCTCATTATGTGGATCCGTACACATAGAGACTTGCAAAAGCAAGCATTGATTTATGTGTGTGCCTACATTGGGGGAAGCTTTATTTTAGCGCTTCCCCAAACGGATAGGCATTATTCACTGTTTTGCTGATGTGGTGCCTAATGATGCTTAAGTGTCAATAAAAAAATTCATTATTGCTTTTCTTGGTTTTGCAAACAAGTCAAATACAAACATTTAACGAATAAACAGCTACGATTCCAAACACATACTAAAAAACAATTCGTTGGACTGTCTCTTCAAATTGGCAGATGATGGAAGAAACATCAATTCGGCGTGCCCCCTTATTTATTTTTCCAGTAGAAACCTTTATGTAGAAACAGCCATGGTACCAAACATCACCTAATCCAATTCATGTCTTACCCCATGTCCACAATAGCCTTAGCAGACGTTAATATGTACAAGGTTCCAACTTTTTGGACCTCAATAGCACTCAACAGTCTCAAAGGATGTTGAGCCAAACCAAATTCCCATTTGGAAGGGCCAAAGTGCAAAGGCCTTTGGCTTTCTAAGGTAGGCCCCACACATACAGCTAATAAGTTATGTCTGAGGAAAAATCCAAACAGTCTGAATCAGCTGTCAGTCAATCATTTGAAGGGTGTCTTCTTCGGCCTTTTTAAATAGTTTATCTGGACCAATTCAAAGCAGCTGAAAGAAACTTGGTTCATCCCTCCATTAGTCTGTTTCAGCCCCTTTAACTCACAATAGATCACTTTTTCATATGGGTGTTGGTGATGGTTTTTTATGCACATGACCAGATCTGTTCTCTCTTCCATCACCTATTTGGAACCAACCACCCCTAGGGGCGATTGCCATTGTTAATGATTTTGTTTTTGATTGAAAAACAACCATGGCGTGGTAGGGTTTTCAAGAGAAATGGGGTAGGAAGGTTTGGGTCTATTATGGATTTTATTTTATAGAAAAAAAAAAACATTGTTTTAATTTTGTGAGTTGGAGCATTAGAGAATGATCCTTAACATTTCAGTTCAAGTTCTGAGGTGAGCCGAGGACCCATTTTACTATGTTTTTTACCCAGCCTTTATGCAAGGACCCCCGCCCCTGAAAACAATTATTGTTCTTGTTCACATGCAGTTAATTTTCATCTTTGAAAACAAAACCATTCACATTGATGAACACACACACCCCCACTCTTTTTGGTTTTTCCATTCATCCCCATCTCAGTGAGAAACAATTCAAGAATGCATAATTTGATAATTGGATATGGCACTGAGCAGATGGAGAATGTAGCCAACCCCATATAGTTGAGAGATGATATGACACTGAACAAAATGGCACGGAATTCTAACATAGATGGGAAAAATCACGTTTCATCGTTGATGCTATTTATGCAAAAATGGTACCATTCTGATGTTACTTCGCAAATTCAGATTCCATTCCCATATTGAATAACATTAATAATTAAATTAAAAAGTATAAAAATATTACATATATATATATATATTGAAATTAAAACAAATTTATAAAACTTGAGCAAATAACTCCTTAGATCAGATAGGGGCAGACCCATATTCATTTTAATTATAAACGGATTGAATTTTGATCACCCTTAACCGGATCGAATTTTGCATTCATTCATTCATGTAGAGGCCATTGCCTGATGCTGCTACCTACTATACTATCCAGGATCGATCTTAGGAGGGGAGGGATGGACTGAATATGAAGCTAACCACCAGCAATTTTTACCTACCTACATTGTTTGTACTATGGCCATTATTCATTGAAGTTTTGACATTTGGCTTCAAAAAAAAAATCACCAAACGCTCATAAGTGATTACCAGAATAAGCCAAATTTGGCCTTAAGCTTCTTTCACACCAAATATCCCAGAAAATAGCAAACGAACCTCATCATGGACTATAGAGACTCCTCCCTTT